GATGTGGTGGAGCCCAGGTCGGGATGTGACATTCTCTCTTCTCTTCTGTTCAACTTCCCCCTTCCCTTCTTTTCTTTCTTTTTCTCTCTCTTCTCATCCGTCCCTCTAAATGATGGTCAACGGAAACTAAAATCCTTGCCTCTAGGGCATTTTCGTCAATTCACTCAAACAAAAGTTATAAAAACGTAAAATTAGGAACGGGTTATCACAATTTTCAGCAATGAAATAGGAAGACAAGGGATGAGAATTTAATTTCTCCTTCTAAGTATCATATTCAAAATTTCTAATAAAAAGTGAGATTTGTTTTTAGGAAGAAGGGAGATGTGCCATTTTATGTCAATATTTTCTTTATAAAGTTGTAGCAGACACTAAACGAACTTCACCTTTTTTATGTTTATAATTGGTTGTTATTCCACAAAAGTGTACCACAAATAGTTTTGAGATACCCATGACAACTTGGAACCAAAATACAATTATTTTTGCAATGTTCTTTTTTCAATTATGGTCTTTAATATTTACTAATAGATTTTATGACTTTTTTTAGGCATAATGATAGCAGTTTTATTAGCATTTTAAGAAAAGTACAAATTTCAAATAGGAAATCCTGAATTAAATTCGAATGATCCTCAAATAAAAAGAACTTCAAAACAAAAAACGTGACCAACTTGGCCCATTTATAGCCACAATTGGGGGATCTTTGGGTGTGACAAGCATGAGAACAATAGCACTCCAAAGTCGAAAGAACTTTCAATGTTGGCAACTAGAAACTCATCACTTCATAATTCGCTTCATGGGAGAGTGTGCAAAAAAATCGTCAACAAAACAGGTAAGGGAACCTCTTGGTGTAGAAGCAACGCCAACTCTGAAGAGAAATGGCAAAAGAAACAAATAGTGACCGATATAATGGAGATTTGTGCACAAAACTACCAAAGAAGCTACCGGTTGCATTAGGATAAACCGCACCAACGCCACCATGAGAAAAGACAACAAAAAAATAGTGATGGAAAACTCAAATCTAAACAATCTTAGACACAGAAATCACCACAAAGAGAACTATTACAGGGTTTTGCCTTTCCTCCTCCAGCGACTTTTGCTGTAAATTTTCTTTGGAGGCTAGGGTTTTGAAAAAGAAAAAAAAACGAGCGAGTGTTGTGTATTGCTCTTCTTTTACTTGTAAAATTACTTCACGATGCTTTTAAATCCGAGCCTGCCAACTGCCGAAATACATTTAAGTATTTTCAATGTACCGGTCGTTTTTTTTTTTAATCTCTTTCAAGAATTGTTCATAATTTAATAGAAATCAGAACCATACTGTTGAAAAAAATAGAAAATAAAAAACGACTCAGTTTATCTTGGGGCAGTCACGAACACGTCTCTATCTGTAGTCGTATTTTGCGAGCTAATCCAAGCCCAAGCAACCGCTGAGTGACTGTTATTTATATAGCAGTGATTTTTATATTTTCATTTGCTGTATGCTTTTGTCTCTTTCAATCTGAAGTGTGTTTTGTAGCTGACTACGGACGGTATATATTCATCGGGTGGTCATTTGTTGAACTTTTCGTCCTCTTAAGCTAATTAATTAACTCCCCGACTGTGCAAAACCCTTCTCTCTAGCTATTCAAGGTATCTTGCTTTCCTTTTATATTTTTATTTTTAATTATCTAGGATTCATGCCTGGTCCAATGGCGGCAGTACTGCAAGTCTAGAATCCAATTGCAGAAAGATTTTAATAATGATAAAACATGAATTTTACTCGGTAGCAGAAATGGAACGAAGATGAGATTGAAAACTTGAAAGAACCTTACGAAAAAGTCAAGCTACATTATTAGGTACGCAAGATTTATCTTGTGTGCAAATTTTCCTGTTAGACCTGCAAAACAAATAACGCTGTTCGGTTAATTAACAAATAACTGAGGAGGAGGAGGAGGATGATGATGATGTTTGTCAAATGGTCTCCGGTTGCTTAGGTCAAAAAAATCCAATGAAAACTTAAGCTAGAGAGTTCTGAGTAGTACCAAAGTGGCGATTACCAATTTTTGCCCTTAAGTTGTCTGCCGGTAGGCATACTAATGGAGCAAGCAATGGGCAGTTATGCTTGACAAAGTGAAGTGGAGAAGGTAATACTATAGGAAAGGAAGCAGAAAAACTTCTCATATACAACAATTATCATTTAATTAACTAGTTTTTTTTTAATTATTAGTTTATTAAATAATGAACTAAATTTAAAAAATGATTAATTCAAATGATGTGGCTGTCCACATCAAATGTCACCTAAGGTGATACGAAAATGTGGTATAAAAACATGGTATGAATAACATTACTCTCACAAAAATCTTCATATTGAGCTTTTAGTCACATGGCGTATTCCTAGTGGATGTGATTAATTTTTATCTTCAACATAATTGTTGCAAAATTCAACAGATTCTTATGTGCAAGATCTAACAGTTAATTTTTTAGATCACTTGGAAAAATTAAAAAGGAAAGCAATTATATTGTTTAGTATCTATGTTATTTTCTTCTATTTTGGTAAAATTGTGGGCTCGTAGTCCATGATTTAGGTCAAATGCACAAGTCCAAATGTCCAAGGTTAGTGGTTTGGTTGCGAGGTCCTCCTAGACGTTTATGTGAAGTTTGAAGTTTGGTGCTCAAGGCTTCGATATTGGGCTCCATGGTCGTGGATTAGGTACAAGGCTAGGTATTGTCCTTTTCAAAAACCAATAACATTTATTGTTCCGATGTGAGCATCTTGCGTTTTGATCAAATAGTCGGTGAAAATAAATTTTCTGCTTAGTCACCGTATGAGACTACATCACTCAATTATGTTCCAAACAAAAGTAGCCCAGACCCAACAACGCCCGAGTCTACTGGTACTCATCTTTTAAATGTTGAAGTGGTCTGAAGTAACAAAAACTACCCATAAAGAAAAAAAAAAAGAGAAGTGTGACCAAATAAGAGATTAGAAAAGATAAATTTAGGGCCATTAGTTATTTTAGGCTGAATTGTAACAATGGTCTCAGGATTTTACTCTCAGTTTAATTTTTGTCCCTAAATTCTTATATTAGTTTCTTTGGTCATCGAACTTAATAATATGTTGTACAATTGGTCATTTTCACTAATGCTATCTATTTTCTGTTAAATTTAGGCATATATTAGGAACTTCATCCCACTTCACTAAAAATAAATTTCAAAATGAAAAATGAAAAAAAAAAGAAAAACCTAAAAAAATACTTTTTTGTGTGTAATAAAATTAAATGCATAGGAATTTTTTTGTTAGTTTAAGTCCAGCCACAATTCGATCTCCTACCAACTTTGAAATCACATTACCTAATATTTACAGGTTGTAGATAAACTCAAAATTTGGGCAAATTTAACCCATAATTTAGGCCAGGGTTAAAAGGCTGGCCCACCAAATTTAGGTTTTAAACTAACTCAATCATTCCTCAAGGGTTAGGTCTACAAATACATTAAATCTAACGACTGAGACCAAATATGATCAAATTTAACAGTAAAAAAAATGATCTAATAGCCCAAAATTAAATTTAACAGCTAAAACCATTAAAAATATTTTTAAATCAAAATTTACTCAAAAACTCTATAAATACGTGTTTTATAGGGTTGGTTTAGTGAATCTTTAGTCTTTTTGGGAATCTAAATATTTTTAATTTAAAATGTTCATAAAAATAAATTATGATAATTTACATAAATTTTATTTTGAAAAAAGTAGCCGAAAAAAAATTTAGCCTAAATCATTATTTAATAATCTTGTATTAAAAATTTAAATTGTAACACAAGGGCGGAGATGATCTTAGCATTTCACTTCTATTTCTTACAATAAAATCAAAACTAATACCTGAAAATGAAATGAAAACTTACATCTGAGAAACTGCCGTAAATTACATTTTTACTAATTTGGTTAGACAGACATGACATATAAAGTTTAGCGTACTTAATTTGTCGGCCATGAAGATGAACATGGTATGCATGCAAACAGGACAAAACCAGTTAATGAAAACATAGGATTAAGGGTTGGTTTGGTAATGAGGTAATTCTGAAAAAAGTTGGTATAAAAAAAAGCTGGGAGTTGTTTTTGTGTTTGGTAAACATTCAGCTTCAGCTTTTTTTCACAGTTTTGGGTGAAAAAAAGCCAAAAACAAGAAGCTGCAAAACACAGCTTTGAAAAATCGGTTTTTTTTCACATCTGTTTTATATAAAAGTTTTACATCTGTTTTATATAAAAGTTTACCAAACACTATAATACTGTTTTTTTTTTTCAAAAGCACTTTTACAAAAAAGTTTACCAAACACTCTGCTGCTTTATTTCACAGCCGCTTATTCTCACAGCACAGCAGAATCAATTTTTTTTCAAAGCATAACAATACCAAACCAGCCATAAGACTCGTCAGAAAGAGGTTCAACAACTTTAAACGAGGCGCAACAAAAGCTAAACCCCTTCATTAATTCACAGTCAAACATAATACAAACGGGGTCAACTTTGGCAAAAACCTTTTAAAGCATGTGATGCTGTTTGTCGGTTAGTTTCAGAATACGTTCCAAGGCCGTACTCTGTCGGTAAGTTTTAAAATCACTAATTTGACCCTGGAATAGTAGCGTTGAATCTCGCAAAATGATACAACAGTATTTAAAAGATGGCCTCCAGTCAAGGGTTTTTAGGTAACTTTAAGTCCGAATTTGTGCAAAACTGACTAATGGCCGAAATGAATCTGCTAAAGAATCAAAGCTATAAATTCGCCAGAGTATTAAGTACACATGGCAAGCTGTCAAGATAACATGTGCATTTCAAATTAAGATGAAAAGATAAAAGACGATAGAGTAACAGTGTACTCGTACTATCTATAAATTGCTTTTGTAAGTTTAGGACAAAGTCCTAAGAATTTAACCTTATCTCTTTCATTGACAGTGGAGATTACACAATCAATGTTGCTATCTCCACCTCCACGTGGTGTTACATTAAATGGGATAACCAAATGCTCACGTAAACCCGTTTCTCTCTCCACTTCTGCACTATTCTTTTACCCATTTGTCCTGGAAAATATGGGTGGAAAAAGAAAAACTAGGCATCTTTGAAACAAAAACCCTATAATTGCACGCTAATTATTTGATTTTGGTGTGTTAGGAAAGTTGGGTTTTTCAGATCTTTCTGGATAATCCAGAAAAAGGTGAGTTGGGAATTTGTTAAATCCCCCTTGTGTGATTATATTTATTGTTTTAGGTGGATAATCTGTTTCCAAGATAATATTTTTTGTTGGATTGTTATGAAATAATTATTTGGATTGCTCTCAGATTCAGATTCATATATATTTTTTTATAGACTTGAAAGCTGATCTTCCATTGCAGGTGGATTTGTGTTCAAGGAGAAAAGCTGCACCAAAATGCATGAACTGTTCTTTGAATAATCTTGAGTACGTTTCTTGTCCAGGTTTTGAAAGTTGTTTAATTGGTATTTGATTATTTAGTTTGATGCAGTTGAATTGTTTGATTGATGGTTTTATGGTGGATTTCACTTTTTCAGTTGGTAAAACATGTAGGGAAGGTTCAATTGATCCAGACACTGAAATTTGAGGTTTTTTTTCAGCACTTCATACCGTTAGGAAAACTTGCAGTTTGTAATTCTGAGTTGCTTTGTTGGTTTTCTGTGTTTTAGCACCTCGAGTCTGATTTCGTGATTGATTAGTACTTCATGTTCATAATTAGTGGGGGGAAGGATGGAGGGTGATTTTTGAGAGTTTTGTGAAGCTTGATACTGAATTTTGATCATGAAGAAACCGAATTAGGCAGTATGAGTGGCGATAAGACTATAGTTTGGTTTAGGAGGGACCTAAGGATTGAGGACAATCCTGCATTAGCAGCTGCTGCTAGGGATGGTAGTGTTTTCCCTGTTTATATATGGTGCCCCAAAGAGGAAGAGCAATTTTACCCGGGTCGAGTATCACGGTGGTGGCTGAAGCAGTCTCTTGCTCACTTGGACCAGTCCCTGAAATCCCTTGGGGCAGAACTTGTGCTTATCAAAACTCAGAGTACTCTTGCTGCTCTCTTGGAGTGCATTCAAGCCATTGGAGCTACCAAAGTAGTTTTCAACCATCTTTATGGTATATCCCGGAACCTCTCTTGAAAGTAATTTCAATCAACTGATAACTTTAATTCGCGAAAAGATTAGTGAAGCTTATCTAGTTTTAATTCTTTTTATGCCTTCATCGGATCTCTGTATTTGTGCTGTGTTTTAGACTAGTGGAAGATGATTCTATTCATCCTTAAAATTTTGCCTCTGCACAGTTGTAACCGTTAAGCTACCATTGATCCGAAAAGCTAAGGTAATACAAAACTGAGTCCGTATGCACAACATAACTAATGAATTATCTATCATTAACATGAAGGTTTTGCTTCTTCGAGATATTTCACAAAATCCCACTCAAGAAATGGTCAAAATTTGTTTTCTTTTATAACTAGGGCATGTCACAAATCTTACCGAAAACCAATTTATTAAGTCGACTATTAGGTTAAGAGTAGGAGGGCAGCCCTTCTCTGTCGTGCTGCTAAGTGAGTTGATGCTGCTTGCGTGGTTAGTTTGAGGCATTTACTTTTCTTTTCCACTTTGTACATATTACCTGTTTTTTTCATCCCAGATCCCGTTTCACTTGTTGGCGATCACAACATCAAAGGAAAGCTGGTGGAGCTGGGCATTTCTGTGCAAAGCTTCAATGCAGATCTGTTGTATGAGCCATGGGAAGTATATGCTGGAAAAGGACAAGCTTATACAACTTTCGAGGCATACTGGGATAAGTGCTTACACATGCAACGGGAACTTGTGACACATCTTCCTCCTTGGAAATTGATTTCGGCAACAGGTACTTTTCAACTTCCAAAGACCTTTGTGTGTGCGCGTCTGCTTGTTTGTGTTTTCAGGCAAACAAATAAAGAAGAGGAGTTTATTACATTTATTGTTGTTAGTGATAGGAACTGTAGCAAAATGTTCACTCGAGGAGCTGGGTCTTGAAAATGAAACGGAAAAGTCTAGCAATGCCCTCCTAAGAAGAGCATGGTCTCCAGGGTGGAGCAATGCTGACAAGGCTCTAAGTGAATTTTTCGAGTTGCACCTGCTTGACTACTCAAACAACAGGATGAAGGTTGGACAAAACTCCACATCACTTTTGTCCCCATATCTTCACTTCGGAGAATTGAGCGTGAGGAAAGTTTTCCAATCAGCTCGAATGAAGCAGATACTGTGGGCAAAAGAAGGGAACTGTACCGGGGAAGAGAGTGTGACACTTTTTCTGAGGGCCATTGGGCTTAGAGAATACTCACGGTATCTATGTTTTAACTTCCCGTTCACTCATGAGAGACCACTGCTGAGCAACTTGAAGTTTTTTCCATGGCAAGCTGACCAAGCCAATTTTAAGGCTTGGAGACAAGGTCGGACCGGTTACCCTTTGGTTGATGCAGGAATGAGAGAGTTATGGGCAACTGGGTGGATACACAACAGGATAAGAGTGATCGTTTCAAGTTTTGCTGTGAAAGTGTTGCTTCTTCCTTGGAGATGGGGAATGAAGTATTTCTGGGATACGCTTATAGATGCCGATTTGGAAAGCGATATCCTTGGTTGGCAGTATATCTCTGGGAGTTTACCAGATGGCCATGAGCTTGAGCGTTTGGACAGTCCAGAGGTAAGTTTTGGCTTTAGTAATGTTCACATAGAATCTTATTTCACTCTGTTCTTTTTAATTAACTGAATTTTCGGATTTAGGTTCAGGGCTCAAAATTTGACCCAGAGGGTGAATATGTAAGGCATTGGCTGCCTGAGTTATCACGTTTGCCAACCGAGTGGATCCACCATCCTTGGGATGCACCTGATTCTGTTCTTAAAGTTTCAGGTGTAGAGTTTGGGTTTAACTATCCAAAACCTATCATTGAGATAGATTTGGCTAGGGAACGCTTGACGAGCGCCATATTCAAGATGTGGGAAATGGAAGCAGCAGCAAAGGCTGCAAGCGCAAATGGCACAGATGAAGTTGTTGTTGACAACTCCATCAGTGAAGATTTGCCCATCCCAAAGGTGATATTAAAGAAATCCTCTCCTTGTCCTACATACTCCTCTAATGATCAGAAGGTACCGACATGTCAAAATTCCAAGAATAATCAGTTTATTAGGAAAAGATCAAAATTTGTGCAAGACGAAAGCCCACTCCCAGATAATCCGCACAATCCTAACGAAGCTGGGCCCTCGAGAACAAATGAAGACACGAGCTCTACTGCTGAATCTTCAATCTCTAAGAAGCAGACAACTAGCAGAAATTCATTTTCGGTTCCACAGTCATGTTCATCATCAGAAGGCAACCCCTTGATGGAGTGTGAATCTTCTGAGATGAAGCAGTCATGGCAAGAACAGAGTGATATGGAGCAGAGTTCAAGCAAAAATGGTAACTAATAAAAAATTTGTTTGACCGTATGATGATTTTATCTGGCATACTGTTTCAAATTCACTCTACTAAATGAATTTCTTCAGTTCTCGAAATTACTTTAAATTTTACTATTAACTCGTCCATGCTTCCATCGGTCTCCTCACGTACGGAGACCAAAATCAATTGTCTTTCTAGCTAATTTCACTTTTGGTGGAACACAAAATGTTTGCTCTCTGAATTAAATGCTATTAGACATGTATCAATATGAAAGTAAGGTTGACATGTTATTGTGTTCCCCCCAGGAACAATTAGAGATGCAAATTTAGGTATGTATTTAGCCAGGTTGTTCGGGGGTAGGGAAGGGATGACAGATGACTCAATCTGAGAATTTGTCTCTATATTTTGTTCGCCTAATCAATAGTTATAATAGTCGGTTCTATTTATATTGAGTTCCATTGCTTGTATTGCGCTGTTTAATCACATTGTTTCAAACTTCTGTGGGAGTAGGAGCAGTGGAAGATGAACACCTCTGATACAGAATTCACCGGCGGCTGCTGAGTTCATCAAGAAAGAGGACCGTTCTGGATAATGTAGTAAGCATGGTAAAGTCTGTCCTTTTGGTAGCTCAATGTAATCCGTAGTTTATAAACGAAACGAATACTGGCTAATATCAGCTGTCCAAATATTCTGCCTTCACAATCGTAGATATAGAGTTCAGTGATTTGCAAATTAATAACGTCTGACAGACAATTTGCTAAAATTGTTGATGCAAGTGTGCATGTTTATTATGTATGCGTCCGTAGAGAAAGAGCTGTCCGAGATACAATTTCGCCGGCCAAGCCATTTTGTCCGTAAAGACTTTCAGGTAGGCCTTTTGGGACGTAACGAAGGTTGTCTTAGGGAAAGTTCAGTGCCGGAGAATTCTGAGTTTGCCCCCCACAAAATTGTTTCACCGGGAAAGAATAATTTCTTCTTGTGAGCTAGCTATATAATGTGTTTCCGTAACTTACATCTGAACAATTAGAGCCTTCCATTAATTTGATCACTTACATTTCTCAAATTAAATACCAAGTAAATGAAACTCAATCATCACTGACTAATCTCTTGCTAAACAATCTCGATATTATGTTGTATGGTCGTTAATCATGACGTAAAGTTTCTGATGCTTGATGATGTGGATTGCATGCAGTATATTGGCCCGTATTAAGAGAGATGGTTAATAATGCATCAGTTTTGTGTGTCTGACGTTACTCGTTGAAAAAAAATAAATAAATAAACAAACAAACGAACGTAGGTTTGATTGTCCTGTCAGAAAACATTATATTAGTTTAAACTTTAAATGGTATAGGCAACTTTGGTTGTCAGCACACACACTGCAAATCCTTCTTTTATCCAGAAACGCAAGCAATTTGACAAATCTGCTGTCCAAGTTGACAGCCAGAATCCAGAGATGCAAGAGATTAAAGTAGAATGCTGAGCCACTTAATACTACGGCTTAATAGTATTCTTCTTCACTTGTAAATAAGAGGTCTTAAATTTGATTTTCATCAAAGTCAAACTTGAACTACATTATTGCTAGCTCATTGTGAGGTTAAGCTCACCATTTCCCTCTTAATGTAGTCGTTTGTTAAAAAAAAAAATTAAAAAAAATGTTAGAATGATAATATGGAAATGGCCAAAATGTAATTGAGTAGTTAAACAGTATATTCAAACGTCATGAATATTCCCCCTCGGTAATGGTTAGGTCCAGTTAAGTACATATTAATACATTCAAAGAATTTTGGTGCATGCAGTTGTATCGATCACCCGTTCTCAATCAAAATATCAAAATTAAGGAGCTTTTTGGGTTGTGGCGTACTGGGTCTAGGCAATTGTTGTTTGTCGATCGTCTGTGTGTTAAATATTTTGAGTTGTTTGAGATTTTGAGAGAACTAAAATTTAACTTCAAAACTACATATTGCGTTACAGGTGGATTTGTGACACTACATGAAGATGTGAGAGTGCAAAAAATTAGTCGAAGCTTTTTCATATTATTTCACAATAATGCATACGTAATACTAAATATTATCTCATGTGATTTGGGAGAAAAACACAAATAATGTATGAAAACTGTGCACCAAAGTTTCTCTCTAGATTGTGTCTATTTATTTATCAAATAAAAGAAGTTCATTATACTTTTTACTAAATAATATCATAGAATTACCAGAAACTAGTGACACGATAAGTTCCAAATCCTCAAGGCCTTGGATGTGCACAACTATGTTAATTTCGATAATCATCGTCTCAAGTAAATTACTAATAATATGCATAAATTTTGATAGTTTCTGTGATGAAATTACGTACAAATGTCTTTAACAAAGTAATGAGATTGCATAAATTTGATCAGAGAAAAGTGCACTGATGTGATTATTATTTGATTAGAAAGTGGATTATGCTAAATGAGGGGGCATAAGATGATTAAACAGCATCAACAAACCATAACAAAACTGAAGAAAACTAGGAGCATTTAGCCTATAAAAGTTCTTTTCTTTTAACTTTTAATTGCAAATGAGAATAAAAAACCAAAATTGCCCTACAACAAAGACTAAACAGGCACTAAGGCATGAAGATTAAGCAACATGATCAAAGAACTTCACCAGGTGAATTCAAAATGTTCGACCGGATAACGCCATAGAAATACGATAAGAAGAAGCCTAATCAAACCGGAGCAGTTCCATTTTCTTGTTGCCTTGATCCTGATGGAGCTGCAGTTTCTTGCGTTCCTTCACCAGACAAATCCTCCAATGACCTTCCCTTTGATTCAGGGACCAAGAATGTAAATAGCAGGCCTAGCAAGTTGACCACACCTAAAATTATAAGGGAGTTCCTCACCCCAATTCCCTTTTCTGCGTACTGAAATCCGAATGCGCCAATCATTGCCCCGGCCTTCCCCCACGCAGCTGAAATTCCGTGACATGTTGACCTTAACCTTGCTGGGAAAATCTCTGCAGGCACCACAAATGTCGTGGCATTTGGACCGAAATTGGCGAAGAAGAAGGTCAATGAGTACATCACAACAAACCCTACTCGGTTTTCTTTTAGAGTCCAGTGCTGGTAAGGAATGGCTAATGCAAACATGAAAACAGTCATGAAGAAAAACCCCATTATTTGAATTGAGAACCTTCCAATCCTATCGATGAATGCCACAGTGAACCAGTACCCTGGGACAGTGCTGCATAGGGCGATGAGGGTTTGCGCTCTGGCAATTTTGAAGACTTCTTCAAGAGCACTCATGGTCTTTGCCTTTGGAATCCAACCAATGGCACTGAAGATGTCCTTTTGAAATAGATTCTGGCTGTAGAAGGCAATATCAAGCAAGAACCATGTGCTGGTAGTTCCGAGCAAGTGAAGACCATGACGCCGAAGAAATTCCTTTGAAAAAAGACCAAAATCATTCCCTCCTTGCTCAGTTCTCCCTTGTTCTGCTTCAACTTCAACCTGCAAAACTTTTGACATATCAGCAGCAGCCTGCTTGGCATTCTTGGCCACCAAGGCAGTGTACCGAGCAGTTTCAGGCATTTTCGCACGCCAGTAATAAGTCACCAGAGCTGGGATAGCACCAAACATCAAAATAATGCGCCAAACATAATCTGCTTCAGGGAAAATAGAGGCGGCGGGATCAGCTTCGTAAGATGGTGCAGGAAATCTTGCCTTAAAAGCTGCAGACACAATAATTGCAACCGCTCCACCAGCCAAAATCCCAAAACCCTGCATAGCAAACACGGCAGCAATGAAGGCTCCGCGAGTCTTTTTATTTGCGTACTCAGACATGATAGTGGCTGAAAGAGGGTAGTCGCCGCCAATGCCAAAGCCTAACCAGAACCTGAAAAAACAGAGTGTTGAAATCACTGCCTTGGGTTCTCTACCAAATGAGAGGCCGGAGGCAATAGAGCAAATGACCATGACCATAAGCACCATGCCGTAGACGCGTTTTCTGCCCAATTTGTCACCAAGCCAGCCGAAGAAGAGCTGGCCAGTTAGGGTGCCACAGAAGGCAACACCATTGACAGCGGCCGAAACATTATGAGGCAAACTGCCTGGCTCTGCAGCTCCATGTTTCTGGTAATAAATGCGGCCGAGCAATTTCGTGACAAGGGAAATGCAGAAGAGATCATATGCATCAGTGAAAAATCCCATGCCTGCAATCACAATTGCTGTGAAATGGTACCATTGTGTTTTGGCCACATCCAGTGCATTCAGCACCTCCAATTGATCACTGGCCATCCTTAATTAGTTAGCCGTCCTCTCAAGTTATTGTATTCCCTTCAACTGCTCAAAACCTGAAAATTTTGATTCAAGGAAAAAGAAAAACAATGTGATTTTTTATCAATTATGTGACACAAAGATGATCAAAACATGGTGAGCACATAAAAACTTGGGAAGGGATTTGGACAGTGTCTTCTGTAGGGCACCTCTCACAAAAACAAGATACTCTGTATTTTGGTCTTATCTGGTAACCAAAGTGTCCTAAATAAGACAATTCAACTTAAATTCTCTCATGAACCAAAAGAAGATAGCAGAGAAAAAAGAAGACAAAATAGGGGTTGATTTGATTCCACTGCAATCAGTGAACTTTCGTAAACAGGTGAGTTTGTCAAGAGAACCATACGACCTTGATGATGACAGTTTCAAACTAAAAGACGCATGAGAAAATGACCCACAACACAGGAAGTCATGAGTCAATAAATAAGAATTTATTAATTTTTTCCAATTAGAAAAATGGATTTGATCTTTTTGTAGAAATATAATTAAAAGACGCAAAAGCTTGTCTGTGTCAAACTCACAAACTGAATTATACATTCACAACGACAGCAAATTAAATTGGTATAGTAAATAGATGCAGCTGAATTAGCAGAGAGATGGATTGAAATTTGAATTTTAAATAATTTTTTGCTATTATTTTAGTAATTTTTGGTCAAATATTCCTATGAAAAAATTCAAGCGAAGTTAAAATTCTTGAAAGCAGGGCTGAGGTCAAATTACACTGCTGCATCTGCAACTACAGCTAGCTGTTTGTTTCCAGAGCTCTAAACTGACAAAAAATAAACGGACAAATACATATTTAAATATATTTTTCACACAACCCAATCTACATTAAGCAAAACGAAGGAATTTTATGTTGTAATCTTAAAAAGAATGAAAGTAAGTGCCAGATTCAGACCTCAGGCCCTTGTGCAAAAGATTCAAGTTTTTGTTAAACCCACCGGAAACACAACCTTTAGGTTTAAGACATTGAAGTAGATAACATATGAAAGAATTGTGCTTTTTGAGCACAGTATCATATATTGCATGCTTTCACTTAGGGCCGGCTTTGGGATTTCAGACGCCCCGTGCAAATTTAAATTGGGAACCTTCAACGTACAATTTTTTTTGTGTTTAAAATAATTTTTTTCTATGATATATTTACAAGTACGAAACTTAGTATGAAAGTCAAGTTTGTAACATAATATCGTCTATGGTATATGTCACATAAATGAAATTTTTAATCAAGAAAAAAAGGAAGTAGATAAAAAGATACAGCAATTTTCAAAATAAAAAATAATTTGGGTGTGTACTAATTAAGTTATATATATAATTAAAAATGGAGGCTCCCGGAGATGGTGCTCTGTGCAGCTGCTCCTTTGGCACTCTCCAAAGCAGCCACTGTTCTCGGTTACATTTTTTCATTTCCATGAATAAAAAACCGCTTGAAAAAACTCACGCAATTTCCCTTTTGATCTTCTTTCTTTTTAGAACAAACGTGAAGAATAGGTGAAACAGAAAAGAACATCCATGAATATTCTTGTAATGAAAATTCCTTGGCATTACATGCCCAAATCATCATCCAACCAAAAAAAATTAAATTACAAAAAGCCAACTGTTCGTCACCTTTTTCAATTTTTGTATTAGGGTTTAAACGACGTTGGTGTTCAAATAATAATTAAAAGCTGGGGAAGGTTAATAATACTAGGCCAAAGTGCAACACAAGGTTTAGCAAAACAAAGAATAAATGTCTGTTCATCAAAACAATCTCTCCAATATGTTATGATTTATTCACTTTTAGGAAAGAAAGAAAAAAAAAGAAAAAAAAAAAGATGAAAGCTTGTGAAAGATGAGGGGAATATGGGGTTAAATTTGAGAATTTCAGTAACAATGATCATGTTGATCAATATTAATGAATTGCAGATGTGAGTTAGGTCAGTTAGCCAAGCACCTATAAAACGAATGGTTTAAAATGTGATGAAATATCATCTTGTAAAACGAATAATTAGAGATTTGGTCATCATTTCCTTACCATCCAAATATGGAAAGAATGTGATTTCGGATCCGATCAATTACATTACATAAGCAGGCAAATGAAGATTAAAGACCACAAACAAGAAAATGAACAAAACCAAACAATAGCACAAGAGTGAAAAGACAAACCTTGTATCTGAAGCCGTACACAGAGGTGAAGAAATCTTAAAAACCGAGACCGAGGCTCGAAATCATGCAGAAATCACAGTACGAGGAGAACCTGTATCTGTGTGTTCATGCAACTAGTAGTGATGAAAAACCAGATCGAGTTAGAGGGAGTGGCTTTGTAGTGATGAAGAAATAGTTTTGGGAATGAAACACAAAGACCAAGTTACAAGGCCAAAGCGTAGAAATGGCTTTTTACCAAATGTAATTAGTTTTAGACAACAGAAAGAGAGAGATATGAGGAAAGAGAGGAGTGAAGTATGGGAATGGAGGGAAGGGAAGGGGGGTTGAGTCCGCATTTAACTGCAAACGACCCTCTAAATTTTTCAGTCATGTACTGAAGAATCTTTCTTCTACCTGGCATATTCACCCCATCTTTCGTTCTCTCACCTCACTTCACCTCATTTTTTTATCCTATCTTTCCTGCTCTTAATTAGTCAATTTCTTAATAACCAAATTTTATTTTTTGGAATCTAATTATTAGTATTAAAAAAAATACAATGGTAATAATTCTAATTATTCTGTGCGTAAGTGTAAATAAATTTCATATTTGGACACTTGAAATAGTATTTGTTATTAATTTTTTACTTACAGGATGAGAAAGCCAAGAATTGAACTTTTATCGTGGTGTGGCCATATGAGTGGTAGAAGCTCATATTATGCTCTAATATGTGTTTGTGCTTTTATTGGTTACATTTTTTATTTAAAATTTGAGGGTGACAGTAGTTTGAGAGTTTGAAAAGAAATAAAATAGAATTTTAAATTTTTATTTCTGTTTAAAATAAATACTTAAAGAGTAAATAATCATTTTGTAAGATATAACTAATTTTCTTTTTTTTTTTAAATAAAGTATGATATTCTATTCATCGAAGAAAAGTCATTTTATATATATTCCATGAAAAAGAAATCTTGATGAAAAAATATTCATGAAAAAGTTCATCCCCAAAAGGGTCATTGGAATCTACATTTATAAAATTACAATAAAGCACGATCAATACAAAAAATTATGAAAGTCAAGCTCTTTGAAAACTGCAAAATTATATAGATCAATAAAATTGTTAAATCTCATGTTGTAGGAAAATTATGTGAGAACAAAATCTTTCAAACCATACTAGGATATATCATATTACACGGTGATATTGTGAAAATTTAAAATGAAAATTTTTTTAGTGCAGAAAAAAAATATGAAGTGTGTTGGGGCCTAAAAGTGTCACACACCAATCCAACCAAATCTCAAGGTCCAATTGTCATGCAAAACCTACATTTAAGCCCAAATACATACCAAGGCACGGGATTGACGAGGAATATATTTACAAACATGTCATGCTACGGTGATTAAGCTGGATACTCATGCCATGCTCATATCTAGTCATCACACCATGCTTTCTCATGCTAATCACTACCATGCTAAGCCAATGTCACATATTCGGGGGTTATCAAGTGGATTGTGGTGTGGATGGTTACGGAATGTTAACGGGCCTATGGAAGACTTTGGGTTGCTTGGGAGCCCAAAGATCCAAGCCCATACCCTTTGCATTTCATGCAAGCATCATTGAGAGAGAATTAGCCTAGTTTACCCATTTCCCTAGCAAGCTAACTCCCTTAGTTAGATCTAAACTAGATTCTTGCATTAAATGCATGTTAAACCCAGCAAGTCAGGCATTTAATGCTGATTTTCCCTTCCCAGCCTGCATAGATAACCAACGAGCGAAAGTCGTGAGGAGCGCTACCAGAATTAGAGCCTGCAGAAGGGCTCCCTGGGAAAGGCCGTATAGGGAAAAGGAAAACTACAGGTCACAACAGTGCAGCTATCTTATACCAAAAGGGGAATTATAGGAAGCCTAGGGAGAAAGAAGGGGAAAACCAAACCACAAAGAGATATTCCCTTGAAACTTAGAGAAGAGCCCTTCACTTACATAAGGAGGGAGAAACCATTAGAGAAGGGGCAACGCAGAAGGTAACACGGAGACGGAGGTTAGAGTAACACATAAGGAGAAATAGAGAGAACCACTCAGGAAGAAGCCTAGAAAGTTCCACTTAGTCTAGAAGCATACTTCAAGCCTCAAGCATCGTCATCCATGCAACCTTAGTATTTCCCATAGCCCTTCATTGAAAATCCCAACTATCTTAAGCCTTGCTGCTACCTTAGGAAACCCAGATTATCTACCAAAAAACACCATGCAACCATGCCAACTCTCTCTCAACATGCTAAACTGATGAACTTCTAGCTTCCACACCACACTTCTCTTGATCAAGTCATTATTTGCTTAAATCATGCTATCTTCGAGTCGTTGATCCAACCGCTATATTTCATAAGACAAGCTAACTCTTTCGAGATATTCCGGGACTTGGTACGAAACCGAACCAAGGGAGACAAGAGGACGTTCTTAACCTCGACCTAAAAGTCCCCCAACAAAGTGTCAATAAGACAATCCTTTTTCTATTTGTTACAAGTGCATCAAAACAACATTCAAATTTCAACGGGGTTTTTTTAACTTTAATCCTTCAAGAAGATTGAAAATTTAAAATAAACCTAGTGTTAGATTACATATTGATTATAATCCCTTGATGTGTCCTTAATTCAAAATAATTAATGTGCATTTATTTAATGTCTCCCATTAAATATTTAAATTTATAAATATACAAATTTTAATTTATTTTTTGACCAAAAAAGAGTTTTTTAATTTATTAATTTTATTTAACATTCTTCAAACTTGAAAGACTCAATTAATATATGAAATGTATTATATTGAACTAATGTATTTAAATGTTAGTACCGAAATGTATGCGCCGAAATATATTATATTGAATTAATGTACTTAAATGTTTGTATCGAAATGTATGTACCTAAATGTATGCATCGAAATCTATTATAATGAATTTAATGTACCCAAATGAAGAAGACAAACTACATTGAAATATATTGTGTAACAAAACTTAGTTTATCTAAATGTT